ACTTTTTTATTTGAAATCATCTAGCTGAGGATAATCACGTTTAAATTTCCAACATTTGAAATTCAAAATTTTCAAACAGCCTTAGATGGAGAAACAACAAAAACGAAAGTTGTAGATCCTGAAAAGTTATGCAATTTTGTAGTTCACAACTTTTTAATTTCAATTCATTTAGAGTCCCAAACACTTATTTCAAGTTCGGTTGAGCATAATATAAATAGAAAGAATATCTAAGATAGACACAAGTGAGTGTTGGGTGTAGTGGTTAGAGCAGTGAGCGCACGAGCTTGAGGTGGTGGGTTCGAACCCCGGCGGCCGCGAAGCGTTCAATTTTCACAGAAAAAAATGCACAACGGGGGGAGTGTGGCTGACCGATGGGGCCTCCCGGGATTAGCGCCCCTCCTGCTCTTCTTCACTACTAGCGAGGATGGGTGTGGCCCTGGGCCGGAGATGCCGCCCCATTGGGAGAGGCCCGCGCGCCGGTGAGGAGAAGCGTTCCCCTGAGTGTCCGAGCGTGGGGGGTTCGCGAGACGAGCATGGCGCAAGCCTCGACAAGGAGACCGCGGGACGGCCATGGCCTGAGCGCTGATGAGGAGGCTGGCGCCCTCCCTCCTCTTCTCCTCCTGTCGAGATCTTCAGGATTCGGCGGCTCCCTTCTCTTCACTTCCGTCGGTGGCATCGTCTTTCTCCGCTGGGTTCCTCTTTTCCACTGTCGAGGATTGCCGTGGACCAGGGGCAAGAGATGCCACCGTGTTAGGAGAGGACCGCACTGGTGTGGGGGGTCGGCAAGGCAGGCATGTCCTGGCGGCCTCCGCAGCAACCAGAGGTGTCCGAGCGCGGAGGTCCTTGATGGTGGTGTGCTACGATTTGTAGGGGCATAGAGGTCATTTGTCTTGAACGTTGTTAGCTGTGCCATCTCCTGAGACGACTCTTAATTTGGGATGGAGGGAGTACATGCACATAATAGCAAGAGGATGCTACGGAACCTGCAAGTTAATTCTCACGACATTGGTGTATAAAAAATAAATTGTAGAAATTTCACAATAATCATAAAAACCTTTAATTTGGTAAACTCTAAGCCATTGGATCTATTCTATAATATAAAAAAAATTCCGCCACCAACAATATTAAAAATAGATATAGCAATCTCCTAAATTTGTATCAAAATTACCAACTTCTAGCATTATTAAAGATAATTTGAACCCTAAGTTTTCTAATTAGCCGTTTTTGCCATTATAAGTGATAATTCAATGTAAGCCTTAAACTTGCATATAAATTATCTCCCTCTACCATTCTAACAGATAATTTAAAATAACCACCCATCAAAATCACCTACATATGCTACTATTAGAGATAATGTAAATTATAGCTAAATTTGCTTTTAAATTATCCATATGTGTCATTATAAAAGATAATATAAAGTAACATCTTTTAATTTGTACCTAAATTACCCATACCACCCATTACAAAAAAAAACAAAAGTATCTCTCAAATCTACATGTAAATACCAATATAAGATATTACAAAAACTAATTCAATCCAGAGGTGGTTTACCGGTGAGGCACAGATGATTCAACTCATGCAGTTTCGTATTGCTAATGGTTGGTTGAAAGTTGGAGCGCATACGAATCTAATAAAGCACTCATTACCAAATGAGACGACATAAGCTGTTTCAAGTAATATAATGGCGCTGAAACATGGCCTTTTTTGAGAGAGAGAGAGTACGCACCTCAGTTCAATGAGGAAGAGAGGACCGGGGTCCTCTGTTTGTTGTTGCAAAGCAGGGCTCTCTAAGAACAATACAAATTACGAAGTGGCGGTATTGTAGGCAGGGTTTGTGTGCTGGCTCTGCTCTACTTCAGCACCACCATCCGTTGTATATCTTAATAACTAATCACATTATCACAATACGAATATATATATTGGAAGCATGGAATGCATCCATCCGTGACATAGTGGTATTGGTTGTAGCGATAAAGTTGTAATTATCTCAGCCATCATCATCAAGCAACTTAGCAAAACAACATGTGGACGACAGTGTACGAGGAAGACGTGGCAAGTCTCCTCTGCCATCGTCCGTCCACGGTATGGTAGTAATGGATATCACACAAGCACATAGTAATGAAGGACCCCAATATTCGTTAGGCTGTTGCTTTCCATCGACATTTTATTAGTTGTGATATAGGGAAAAGAAATTTCAACACCGATGTGAAGTCCTTTGGCAGCAAATAGGAAGACTAGCTTTACGGGTCGTCCATGACGGGCCCATTTGATGACTGGGATGTGAAGACTAGTTCATATGCCAGTTCGGACCTCTACAGAGTTTATTTGGATGCACTAGTATAGTCGTATTCACTTCGATTTACATGCGTTGAAATGGATTAAGGTGCAAGTTAGTTTCACAAAAAATTGTATAAGGAAAAGCAGAACAAGCCTCCGTGCTTATAGCATTTATGCCATCTCAGACCACAATCGCGACCCTTGGACGTTTGTCACGAGAGATCAACTCGACAGGCGTAGAAGAAGGCGTGCAGTGGATGGGATGATCTAAAGAGCAGAGGTGACGACGGCAGTCGAACAAGACAGCCGGTACATGAGATGGAGATGGGGCTGCTAACACCGTAGAGCCGGCATGCGTATTTTGGGCACGGAATATCCAGACGGAGATAGGCAGAATTTGCATTGCTGGGTTGGGTTAGTCTCCAAGCGGTCTGCAAATGATACCATTGCAGAGGCCGTGAGGGTTATCAGTTGTCTATGGTCGTGCGTGTCGTGAGCATGTCATGCCACATGTATATATTATTTAGCAGCCGTAATCCTGACTGACCCTGACAAGAGTGCATGGAAATTGAATGGATTCTGTATGGCTGTTCTATTTGTTTGAGGATGCTTTGGTTTTTCGAGGAAAACATAACGGGCTTCTCCCTATTGGGGTTTATGAAAACACATCAAACGTATAGAGTTACAAACTCAGGAGACAAAAAAGGAAAGGAAAAAAAATCAACAAAATTACACAGAGGTCTTGTTATGCACAATCAGTTGAGAGCAAAGGGTGACAAATGCCTGTATGCAGTTTATTCGTCTCTGTTCTCTAGCGTGGTTCGTTGAACGAACTGACAAAGGCTCAAAAGCTGCTGCTTCAACGCATTGCTTGTCCGAGTACTGAGCATCAAAATGCAAATATATTCACACTACGCTCTTGGTGTACCATTTTGTTGCTGCAGTACAGTCAATCCATTGATCGGACAACATGTACCTGCTTGACAGCCTTCTTCACTGCAGTGCAGGCACGCTCGCAGCCAGAATGTCAAGTGAGCATAGGCGTACGCTAACCAAACGTCCTTGTACTCACAACAATTCCCTATATGCCAAAATAGAATATTAATATTTATAATACATATTTTGTATTATTAGATAGATCGTTGAATATACTTTCATAATAAACTTATTTGGAGAGATAAATGTTGCACACATTTTCTACAAACCTATTCACAGTTGAGAAAGTTTGACTTTCCGGCATCCCATAACAGCTTTTATTGTGGGACTGAGGGAGTAAGTGTCTAAGGCCCTGTTTGGTTGGGCTGTGGCTGTGGGAAAAAGCTGCTGTGGGCTGTGGAAAAGCTGCTGTGGGCTGTGAGCTGTAGAAAAGCTGAAAGCTGTTTGATTAAACAAGTATAAAATATACCTTTTATCTTTATCTCTCTTGAAACAACTATGGAAGAGCTTTTTATTCCACCAATTTCGAAAAGCAGAAAGCCAAAAGCCAAAAGCAGGGTCAAACCAGCTTTCAAAAATGAACTACGGAAAAGCAACTACTTCTAAAAAAGCACCCTTTGGTTGGGCTTTTGGCTTTTGGGGGCAAAAAAGCTAAAGCCAAAAGCCCAACCAAACAGGGCCTAAGTAGGTCAACTCAACCCACCGAGAAAGCACGTCTCCACAGTGGATTCATGGAGGTAATATGCAGGGTTACGGCATACACTATGGGTAAGCCAGCTGAAAATAAAGAGGACAAGCATGTTCCAATCCAAAATACTCCGTACAAAACATAGATGTTCAGCAGGATATAGCAACATATACTCCATTCCCAGCAGTTGGCGGAAGGAAGCAGAATGAAAGCACTCCCACTCCCAGCAGCCTAAAGAAAGCAGAATGAACAAACAGTAAAAACAGAGCAAGTCTCCACTGATCCAGAATGCGGGGCGGAGGAGGAATGAACAAGCAGTTGGCGGAAGATCAAGGAATGACCAGAATGCATATATTCACACTAATCCATACCATCACTCAACATGCAGAATACACTGTTGCTTGGGTCCACTGATCTGATGGGGAAGCGATGCCGTCGGCTTCACTGCAGTGCAGGCCCGCTCGTCCACGCAGCCAGAATTTCAAGTGAGCATAGGCGTGCCACCTGCAGGGCGGATAGCCCAAATATGTTATACTACTCCAAGAAGAAATTAGGCCGTGTTTAGTTGAGGAAACTTTGAATTTTGAGTTACTGTAGCACTTTTGTTTTTATTTGACAAATAGTGTTCAAACATGGACTAATTAGACTCAAAACGTTCGTCTCGCAATTTCCCACCAAACTGTATAATTAGTTTTTTTTTTCGTCTACATTTAATGCTCCATGCATGAGTCGCAAACATTCGATGTGATGGGTACTGTAGCACTTTTTGGGATTTTGGGTTGCAACTAAACATGGGCTTAATGAAATAGTAGGAGATATTGTCAGGATGGAGGCAAGCAGTTATCTTGAGCAGCCAAATTTACCGGAAGCGTAGGCAGAGGGGCAGACGTTTGTCCGCACTTGTGCGTCGTTCTACCAGCCACTCTTCTTCGATCGGACATATTTTAATCCATATTTTATTGTAAGCATCCAAGACATATTTTATCCGGCGGATGCGTGCTGCACAAGATACAGAGATTGGAATTGACACGAGGGAACCAAGAAAACAGACCAAGCCAAATACGGTATCTGGAAATAAAAAATATATCGGATGAAGCACCTTGAGCAATTGCAGAGCGACTGATATTTGTCTCAAAGCGGAAAGGATCTCTTGTGTAGGTCACATATCTTTTCCTTGAAATCCCTTCATCTGTGGCATATGCCTTGACTTGCTGGATGTGGCTGAACTTGTGCCACTCAGGACCTGATTTCCCTGCTGCTATGGATGTGAGCAGCGACAAGGAACAATCTAGCAGCAAATGCCTTGGGTTTACATCCTGCAGATACCTTGGGACTGTTTCCATGGCATAATCCTCCAAATTGAGCCTCTGTAGTGCAGGCATGCCCCCCAATGCCTTCATCTCTGGGCACATGACGATGACGAGCTTCTGCAGTTTCGGTAGATTACTGATCCTCTCCAGGTCAGTGTTCCTAAACACGTCGAGGTGGACGACAGAAGTGAAGTTCTCCAAATACCTTAGGTTCTTGACATCATATATGTATAATTCCTTCGAAGCCTTTGCGTGGAAGGCAAGGCCAGGAGGCATGTGGCTCAATTTGCACAAACTGAGTTTAAGCCTCTCCAACATAGGCATCGCTTTGACTTGTTCCTCCCACTCCCATTCCTCCCATTCGACAAATCCATCAAAAGTCAACACATGCAATCTGGGAAACCCAACCCCTACATGATTGCTTGGTTGTAGGAATTCAAGCCCAACACGCTTGATTGCTGGGGCACGAACAATCTGCAGAAGCTCCAAGCAGGGGAGCTGGCTCAAGCCACTAGGAAGCTCTGTGCAGCAGGCCAAGTCATCCATCGTTAGAATCCTCAAGCTCCCAAGGGGCGTAACTGCTGTCAGCATCATCCAACCTGGGAGCCGCTCACCAAAATACCCTTTGATGTTAAGGTTTTCTAAGCCAAGCGGAGGGCAGAGCTCATCAAAAACCTCCTCGATTTGTCTCTTGGCTTTCTCAGAGATCCCTTCTTCCTCTTTTACCAACAGGCCATCATCTCCAAGTCTACTGGTGCAACCCAGTGAGAGATACCTTAGGCGCTTCTTTCCACCAAGTTTGGCCTGTATAGCAGATGAGAAAGAAGCTACATTCTCCAAGAAACTGATATCAAGATCTGTTAGCTGGCAGAGAGGCCCCAGTTCCTCCAAACTACAGTGACCACAGTCCATGTGGGCTGGAAATCCATATAATTTCCTCAAAGAAGTTAGGCCACTAAATTCCCTTGGTATAACACTTACATTTGTCCAGTCAAGTCTGAGAAACCTCAAGTCTTGTAGTACTCCAATACTACTAGGAAGCTTGGCCAAACCCGGACAACCAGAAAGGCTAATGCACTGCAGGAATTTCAACTTGCCTATGTCTTCTGGTAACTTGGATGTTTTACAGTTTTCTATTGACAAATACCTCAAATGTTTCAGCTGATACAAATATTCTGCTATTGCATCAATATTTACACTGTCCAAATGTAGTGTTCGAAGACTTGAAAGAGAAACAAATGAATCACCTGGCTTAATCTTTATATTACCAACTAAAATTAGTGTTCTCAGTGATGTTTGTGTTTGGAGAGAACACCACTCCAAATCATGTTCTTCTGATCGTTTGCTTTCCAGAGATAATCGAAAAAACTTTTGTGATTTAAGTTTGTCAATACCAATTGTACTATTGTGAGCTATGAGTGCTTCATCTCTGAACACGCTATGAGCAAATGACCGAACAACATCATACATGTTGCAAACTACTTGATCAAGATATGTCTTATCTGGCTCAATAAGGTTCTGCTGTATTAACTGATCATAGTATTCCCTTCCTATTTCTTCTAGGTCACATAAGGTTCCATGAACAAATCCTTCACTAATCCACATGCCAACAATGTCATGAACAAAAAACAATGTGCCCCTCGGAAGGAGGGAATAGTGCAAAAGCAAGGCTTCAAACAAGACTGCAGATCTTCATAGCTAAGATATACTGCATAATTTAGCTCTTTAGGCATTTGTGATACTGACCATAGAGAATCATCTAAGACATTTTGCCAGTCGGTTCGTCTTATCCTTTTCTGACGCAGGAGACCTCCCATTACTTTTACCCCAAGAGGTAAACCATCACATTTTTCAACAAGTCTCGTTCCAATATCCTTTAGTATTTCAATCTGGGGCTCATCATTTACGTCTGTAACAACCTGCAAGAATTTTAGGCTAATTAGACAAACAATAATTTATTGTGCAGTCTCGTAATATCCTGTCAATGCAAAACACATCAAGAAAGAAACCTATGTGGTCTCTAGCACATAATTTTTGGTCAGCCTTTTTTATATTATACTTTATGCATGTGCAACTAAGTAAAAAGAAAGAAAAAAGGCACGAATGTTGCTTCCGAGACAATAGCAACAAAGTATTCACTAGCAATGTTCATGATGAATTTCTACTTCTTTGCTCCTATCACCTTTGGAAGTACGGCCTTTCCTAATCTTTAGCAAAATCAGCACTATTATTCAGCTCATACAACATAGTGTGCATTGTACCTGCCACTGCGTCAATTCTGAACCCACTGGAATGATTCACTACCAATCAATATAAATTCTGTATAATAATGCTACAATGCTCAAGAAAACATAACTCAATAAATATGGAAAATATTCATTACAAGGGGCGCATTAAGGTATGGCCAAGCAAAAATATTAGAAAGAATTATTTCAATTACAAGTGACAGCATGTAATCTCCCAGTGCATGACTATACAAATAAACAGTTGAAAGCAGTAATAGTCTCCTCCCAACAAAGGCGGTTGGATTAGTTTCAAATTTTGTTCCAAAATAATTAATATTCTAAGTGGTACTAGTTCTATTCGTATTTTCTGGGCCCACTCTTCATTAAATTTCACCCAATAGGCACATACAGTTTAGTACAAAGAGTTTTGCGTTGGTATATGTGGGTTCTTTGCTATAGCACGCTTCCACCCGGTTCACGTTGAAAAATCAATATTAAAAATGCTGTTGTAGACAATTTCATATGCGATGCCTTCTCACGTATACTTCCAGTCATATGATAATTGGTACAGTGGAGAATAATATTTTTTTATAGAGTAAATTACACCCATGGCCCCTAAACAACTACGTCTTTCTATCATATCACTAAATATAAAATTGCACATTTAGATCCTTAAACTATTTAAGTACCCCAGTTATGTACGGCTGCGCAGCCACGGCAGCTACGCGGCCACGACGGTTGCTCACATTCGTGCTTGTGCAGCGGTGGCGGCGGCTCGCTTGTGCAGCCGCCGCCATGGCTCACGCTCTCGCGCTCCTCGGCAGCAGTGGCAGCATTGACAGCGAGATGAACTCATGTAGCATTTCTAATGTGGAACAAGATATTTTTTAAAAAATAGTCCCTCATGAAATTTGTTAATATTTGTGCAGTTTATGTATCCGGGTCATTTTGTATATAACCCCCGCTAATATTTTATTTTCATGCAAGCCAGTCTTTTCTCTACACGCGGGCCTGAATCCATACCCGTTTGAACGAATATGAGGCCCAAACAAAGTTTAAAGACCGGAATGACATACTTTTTATGTTTGGCGACCAGGATGCCACAACTCACAAGTTGGAGGACCAACCATGGAGTTTACTCATCAAAATATAATTTCTAGCCTTAGAATATGTAACACGATGTCATCCACATCCAAACAGACCTAGACCTTTTCCATTCCTCAACATGGCATGCCATGGTGGAGCATTATCTGTGTGTTTGGATGCAAGGACAAGCAGGGATGGGATGAGATGGCTCTAGGATGAGTGGTGTTTGTTTGGGAGGCCACAACGGGCGAGGACATCCCACATGGGAATATTCCCATCAGATGCGGGTTGCCCAGTCCCCAGATATTTGACGGACAGGGTTCGCCCAAGGTGGGACGAGCCCGCTTGCTGGCGAGGAAGAAAAGGAGAGGAGGTGCACGTAGGGGCAGTCGACCAAGAAGAGGAGCGCCGGGGGCCACCATCGTGCAAGCTCGGGGGGCCACTACCACGCGTGACCTCGAGGGGCCGCCACCGTGCGCGAGATATGAGGAGCCTCTGCGCGCGAGCTTGGGAGGCCGCCGCCGTGCAACCTCTGAAGAGCCACTGCGTGCGAGCTCGGGGGCCCGCATGAAATAGGAGGCGTGGGGCATGGGCGCCAATCTGACCAGGAGGAGGCGTAGGGCGTCGCGCTGCGAGCCCTTTGGGCGGCTACCGTTGGGGAAAGAGAGAGAAGGAGAGAAGGAAGAAAAAGAAAGAATAAAAACTGCCAAATGGGCCCCACATGTCAGTAGCGGATCTCACTTTTTATGTCTAAGACCAAACAGAAAATGGGTTGATCCCATCCCTCCCCAACCAGAAAAGAAATAGGGTCACCGCATCCCACAAACCAGAGACAAGACCATCCCACCCCACCTTATCTCCCAACCAAATGCTATCTATATGTCTCTACCCATGGGAACCACACATATATGTTGGCCTTTGGCCCACCGTCTCGATTCCCCCTCCCTCCCCCTCTCTCTCTGTTTCTCTCTTCTCGCTCTGATATTGTGCAGCAGCCCAATATGTGTGACGTACATACCCTCGCGTTGGACTACTGGTCAATACCGAACCACAAATGGATCAATTGTGGCCTGCCACATAAGGATGTATAGTGTGTTAGGGCTCATTTAGAACTGGATGATTGCACGTGACAAGTCTGGGGATCTTGATGATATTCTAGTATAACTGTGGGGGCATGAAAGTAGCATTATAAGAGCTTGGGACTTACATTACATCCAAAGACAATTTCGCTAACCTCACAGTGCATGCATTTTGAGAGTCTAGGGACCCAGATGACATCATACAGAATAAGTTCGAACACCGTTTTTTTATTTTCATCTAAAAAGCATAGTGCTAAACAGACTTATTATGGTTGCCTTAGTTTGTGAATTAAATTTAGTTGCTAATTCGCCATGTGGTATTGCCTACGTTACAGCCCGTGACAGATCCAATCCAACCTACAGATCTCATGTTTTTTTTAAAAAGGAGGAAGTGTAGTACAATGTCCAAATTTTAATTGCTTTAACAAAAAATTGTGAATACCTGCCCTATGTGGAGTCTGCATGACCGCATATGCAGGATATTACAATACTAACATATGGAAGTATGGCATTTTGTTTCTTTATAATATATTTCGAAGGTCACCACCGTAGAACTAGATGTTGAAACAAATAAGAAAAATAGAAGTTGTTGCCAGGACAGGGAATCTAGTTCCCACTACTAAGATAGAAGCAAAACTAAAGTGATGCAGCTAGAAAACAAAATGCATAATTAAAGAAGAGTAATTAATGTTTGGATTAACTTGTACCTGCTTCTTGAGCAGCAACCATGCATCTTCAAGCCCAAGTTTGTCAATACGATGATAGGGCTCCTCAGCCTTCATCTGACGTGCCACTATGTCATGCCTTGTGGTAACCAGCACACGGCTACCTTGAGCTAGCATGGCATTGACAAAGGGAGTTCTAAGCACACCTTCCCATATATTGTAGTCCCAGACATCATCCATTATTAATAAGGTTTTGTGTCCCTTCAAAGCTTCTATTAGAGTCTGTTCCAGTGCCACCTTTGAAATTCCACAAGCATGGTGGTTTCCACCAGCTTCGATAATAACTCTCCTTAGCATTTCAGTTGGATTGAAGTCTTGGTTGACACTCAACCGTATTTTCATCGTGAACTCATGTTTTATGACTTCACTGTTGAAGATCTTTTGAGCAAGGGTGGTTTTACCAATCCCACCAATTCCCACAATGGAGAAAATGATTATTTTGTTGGATTTGTCGTCGTCAGTTGGATACTTCTTTGTTAGCATCTCTACTAGATTTGTTGTGTCCTCTTCGATCTTCTCACCAACCAAACCTGATTTGTCAAGCCACCCTGACGTCTCACGGGTACCAGAAGGATATGATATCATGTTTCTTCCATGGTCCTCATAAGTACCAAGGTTCATGAAGTTGAATGATGCACCACGTGCCTTGATGTCATCTAGCTTCTTGTTAAGGTTCTTGATGCAGCTTCCAATGTCGTGGGCATGTAGGGGATTCCATATGCAGAAGAGCAACGGGTTAAAGCATTCTGTGTCACACCTCGGGCCTTGCTCCATGTCATTGGGTTGGCACAGGTTGAGGATGGATCGGAAAGGGTTAAAGCACCTTGTGCCATGCCTTGGGCCTTGCTCCATGGCCTTGAGCTGGCATAGGTCAAGGATGTTGGTGGCATCATAAAAGGCACCCCTTAGCTCCCTCACCCACTCTTGGACAGTCTGATCAGTGGTATTCCTTCTATCAGTGTCAGCAAGGAAGTTCTTGAGGTCCCTAAGCTTGGTGCCCATGTTATCAATCTCACCCGACACCCTGAGCAACATATGCACCTCATCTTTCACCATCTCGGTCAGCATGTTTTGGATGTAGGAGGCCAGAGCATCTAGGACCCCGGCCATGATGAGAACTTCGGTTTTTGCTGTAAAGTTAGAGCAAATGCCATCCGTAAATATATATCCCATTTGCTTACAATAAAGATGACTCGATCTAGAAAGTAGTGTTGATTATTCATTACAAATTGAAGTCGCATTCTTGTCTAGCAGAAAAAGATAGGTGCTATGAACTATCTATAACATTTCTAATTTTTGTACGGAAGCTATATGCATGAAAATAAATCCACACAAATGGTTGGAAACGAACCGAGGCATGTAATTAGTTCGGGCGACGATCAGGAAAGGATGCTGGCATGAGTCGCACGTCGGAGGGAGTTGGCTCTGGCGCGTCGCGGTCGTGGTCGGCTTGCCCAGCTACTGCAGGAGCGGTGCAGGATCGCGTGGAGTTCAGCTAGCCATGAATGAAGTGGCTGCTTGTGAATTGAGATGGGAACTTCGGTTTTTGCTGTAAAGTTAGAGCAAATGTCATCCCCAAATATCCCATTTGCTTACAACAAAGATGACTCGATCTAGAAAGCAGTACTGATTATTCATTACAGATTAGTGTCGTATTCTTGTCTAGCAGAAAGATAGGTGCTATGGGTTATCTACAACATTTCTAATTTTCGTACGGTACCTATATGCATGAAATAAAAACCACAAAATGGTAGGAAACTAACCGAGGCAGCCGGCGAGTTCAGTGACGGCCAGGAACGGATGCTGGCACGGCGTGCGTCGGAGGCACACGGCAGCGGCAGTGGTAGTAAAGGATTGTGACTCGTGAGGTAACTATGCTGGTGAGTCGGGTGGCTGCCTGAGATGGGGAACGGAGGCGACCTTATTGTTGGTCATGGCCGCCCAGAGTTGCTGGTGGCAGCTCGGATAGAATGATTGGTGCACAGAGTATGCATGATTGACGTACGGATAAATGCTAAGGTCACTGCCCAACAGTAATTACAGAGAGTGGTGGAGGCCAGCTGGTGTGTGAGCGACACTGTACGTTCGGCTAAGAACTGAGGCCATTGCTCAGCAATGATTATGGAGATACCAGGGACGTTGCGGATAAGAAAATATACTCAATGATATCCACGGCGATGATATTATATCGCGGGCATGAGAAAGGTCGGTAATGGTGTAACTGGTAAACCAAACACTAACAACTTTGCTGCTCTTTGTGTTCATCATTTATCTGAGTCTGACGCCATCACCAAGTGCAGTAACAAATGGACTTCATACTCATAGTATCTGTCGCAATCACTTCCTAGTACGTGGTTTTATTGATCCAACGAACCAAAAGGACGGACCATCATATATTGATGCCTTGTCTACCAGCACTCATTGAAACCAGCAATTCTAGAGCTGTCTGTACAAGCCACCGGCAAGGCAATAATGGTGGACGGCATCTAGTGGAAGCCCCGAGACCTGCTCGCCTCAGGAGGACGGCATCGTGGTGAAACAGGAACAGAGGCGACCACGACCAGCGGCGAAGGCACCAAGTCGTCGCGCGACTCGCACCTGTCGCACACTCATCTATTGAGCAGAGCACACTAGTACGTACAGGCACAAGATGGCAAGAGCAACCTTATCTTTCTATTAGTAATCGGAGGCTTCAACTGAGAAGTTAATTCACGCGCTATAAAAAAAGATATATTATAGAAATTTCACAATAGTCAAAACGTCCAAATTTTAGTTTGGTAGACTACAATCATCATCTCTAATAATAGCCATCTATTCTCTTATATATATATTAAAAAAACTATCCAAACCTGAACGGACCCTGCCTCGTCTCCTCCGTGAGGCGACTCGGGTATGCTGGCCCTCCACCGAACCGTATCCCCGCCACCGGCTGCTCCCTGGCCGCCGCCGCTGCTCTCTGGTGAGTGGCGGCGGCAGCCACGACGGCGATCCATAAAGGGGCAACCACTACATGGAACACGTGATTTGCCGAGTGCAAAAATCTTTGCCGAGTGCCAAATTTCGGACACTCGGCAAAGACCTGATTTGCCGAGTGCAAAAATCTTTGCCGAGTGCCAAATTTCGGACACTCGGCAAAGACCTGATTTGCCGAGTGCCGCACTCGGCAAAATATGGCACTCGGCAAAGACCTGCACTCGGCAAAGGCAGACACTCGGCAAAGTTTGGTAGGGGCCTAACGGCATCCAGCGGCGTCCTCTTTGCCGAGTGCCTACCGTTTGGCACTCGGCAAAGAATTTATTTTGCCGAGTGCCAAAACTTGGCACTCGGCAAAATATTTTTTTTTGGTTTTTTGCCACCAATTTTTTTTTGAAGCTTTAGTACACTACCACAAACAACATGTTTAAATTTGGGACATTTTCATTGCCTTTTGGCATATTTCTATAGTTTATTTTGTTTTGTTGAATTTTTCCGAAAAATGTAAGTTTGAACTGCAGGTGCATCGAATAATAGACAATTCCTGGATTTAGACTAAATTTACACTAAGAAACAAGGATAACATTTTTTGAACGAATGTAATCCATTATTCGATGCACCTGCAGTTCAAACTTGCATTTTTCAGAAAAAATCAACAAAACAAAATAAACTATAGAAATATGCCAGAAGGCAATGGAAATGTCCCAAATTTAAACATGTTGTTTGTGGTAGTGTACTAAAGCTTCAAAAAAAAAAATGGTGGCAAAAACCAAAAATATTTTTGCCGAGTGCCTAGGGTTGGCACTTCGGCAGTAATAACTTTTTTGAGTGCTACCTAGTTGGCACTCGGCAAAGGGCTGCTGAATTTTTTTTAAAACTTCGCTGAGTGCCAGATCACGACACTCGGCGAAGAAAATTGACTTTGCCGAGTGTTGCCGATCCGCACTTTCGCAAAGCCGCCTAGTCCTTTCACCCGCCTCCTGGCCAGCTCTCTCTCTCTCTTCTCTCACTTCTCTCTCCTCTCACCTCTCTCCCACACCACCGCCAAGACATCACTGGCCCACGCCCCTCCCAGCAGGCCCCAAGGCGCCTGTCCCCTCCGCCTCCCCTCCCCTGCGCCACCGCGCCTCCCCACCCGGCCACCACAGCCCTACCGCCCAGCCATCACACCTCCCACACACACACGCGCCTCCCAAGGCGCGGCCCAAGCCCTGCCTGCTCCCCCCGTCTGCCTCCCCACGGCCACTGCAGAAGAGACGAGGAGGAGGCAGGGGGCCTCCCCACGGCCACTGCAGAAGAGAGGAGGAGGAGGCAGGGGTGAAGAGAGGAGGAGGGGACAAGAGAGGAGGAGAAGGAGAAGGAGAGGAGAAGGAAGGTGCCGGCCTAGGCCCGTCGACCGTCACGCCACTACGGTCGTCGCCGACCCTCGTTGTTGCCATTCTCGTCGCGAAGGCATGCCCTACACCTGTAGTACTTAGTAGTAGTACTTAGTAGTGTTAGTAGTAGTTAGTAAGTAGTAGTAGTTAGTAGTTAGTAGTGTTAGTAGTATTGTTAGTAGTAAGTAGTGATAGTAGTAGTGTTAGTAGTAGTAGTGTTAGTGTTAGTAGTAGTTGTAGTGGTAGTAGTACTTGTTGTTGTACTACTTCGATACTTTCATCTGCATGGAAAGAGAACTAAAGTACATGGCTCGTCTTGGTATATATATGTTTGTTGGCCTTCGTGCCTATGTTTGGTATATATGTGGTTGTTGGCCATCGCGCCTACGTTTATTGCAGGTTTTGGAAACCTCCCCATGCAGGGGAGGTGCTGCCAAAATTTTCAATGGATTCTAACCTATTGCCCTTTTATGTAGAAGGACCCGTGGGAGGGACTCGGCGACCCCGATCATCTTCGTCGACGCTGCTGGTCTGCCTGCACCGCATCGCCTCGCCACTGCACCGACACACCACTGCCCCGCTAGCCTGACTCCACCGCCACCCTAGGTATAACCCCCTCCTCCTTTGCATGCATGTTTTATATGGTCACGTAGCCCAGTTAGGCGTCTCCCATTCGAAAGAGATACGGTCGGAGGTATGCAGATCTTTGCATATATGCGACCGTATCTCTTTCGGATTGTCCACGTATTTTGGATAGCCCGCGGATGCATAGATGAGGTTAGTTTCAATGGTTCACTCCGGTCCGAGACAGACTTTTCGCATCACCTCCCTGTTGTTCTCCGGATACACACTCTCCCTTGCAGGACGTGTATCGGGAGAACAGCGGGGAGGTGCTGCCGAAATTCTATCTCGGATAGTCTCGGATAGGAGCGGAGCATTGAAACTGACCTCATCTACGCATCTGCGGGTGGGATTAGGACCTATCCTCACCTATTAGATGGTAGGAACGTCGTGCAGATGCAATTGCTGCTTATATTACTCGCTTACATATGTATATGCCAGAGGATGGAGAACCGTGATTGGATGTACACGGGCCACGTAAGTATGACCCTAGAATGGATGACTAAGACTAATGCTTTCTTGGAGCATTCATTTGGCGAGGCTGCTAGAGGGTCGAGTCGGATGCCGTGTCCCTGCAGCAAATGTGACAACCGTGTAAGAAAGAATAGGAAGAATGTGGGGGAAGATCTTTGCAAGTATGGATTCACGCCAAACTATACCTGCTGGATCCACCATGGTGAAGCCGATCGTATTAGAGAGGAGGTGGTGAGACCACGCCTCGAGGTTTTTGATGGAGATGCCGGGGTAGCAGACTAGATGGATGACTTTCAGGAGGCATGGTTTGGTGAAGGATTAGAGGATGAGCCAGAGGAATCCGCAAAGGCGTACTACGATATGCTGTCTTCGGCAAAGAAGCCCCTTCACGAAAAGACAATGGTTTCGCAACTGGATGCCATTGGACGCCTAATGGCGTTCAAGTTGCAGTGTAGCATGAGTCGAGACAACTTCGATGGTATGTTGGCAGTTGTTGGATGCCTGCTTCCGGAGGGTCACATTCTGCCGAAGAACTTGTATGAGTCACAGAAACTTATTCGTGCCCTTAAGATGCCGTATGAGCACATCCATGCTTGTCCGAATGGTTGCGTCCTATTTAGGAAAGATCACGAGAAAGCAACGCACTGTCCAAACTGCAAATCCTCT